AAAAAAGTCAATCAGTTACATACTGAAATGGAAAAATCTCCAAAAGATACCAAATTTTAAAAGTAGGCCATGTGCAGTGGCTCATGCCTATAATCCCAGCACTTTGAGAGGCTGAGGTGGGTGGAACACTTGAGATCAGGACTTCGAGTCCAGCCTGGCCAATATGGCAACACTTAGTCTATACTAAAAATACAAAAATTAGCCAGGTGCAGTGGCAGGCACCTGTAAACCCAACTATTTGGGAGGCTGAGGCAGGAGAATTGCTTGAACCTGGGAGGCAGAGATTGTAGTGAGCCCAGATTGCGCCATACTGCACTCCAGCCTGGGCAACAGAGCGACACTGTCTCAATTAAAAAAGAAAAAAAAGCAAGGTGCATCCTAGTATGTATATTATGATTCTATTTGCATAGAATACTGGTACAACATACCTATAGGGAGAAAGTACAGGATTCAAACAGAGGAATATAAAACAAAACCTTTTATGTAACAAAACATTTATAAACCTTCACTTATAAAACAAAGGTTTTGTTTTACATTCTTCCATGTTTGAATTATTTACTATGCATATTTGTTTTTAAAATTACCAGATTAGCCTCGAAAGATATTTCTTGTCCTCTAAGCCATTAAAAGGAATTTATTTAAATATGTAAGCATATATGCATAATACACATCCTCCATATGCAATGGAAATTTCTGGAAGAGTATGGAAACTTAAAGGGCTGTTTGGGTTTGCTTGTGACTGAAGGGTTACTAGGATGTGAGACTTTCACTTTTAAAACTGGGATGGCCACAAGTATCTTGTTTTTGACTTTTACTTTATGCCCTTCTTACTCCTCTGTTCGTTTAGATTTGCTTGCCGTGAGTATGTATTATTAATTAGGTAATTACTTAATAAAGTAATCTTAGTTGTGTACAGTGGCCCAGGCGTGTAATCACAGGGCTTTGAGAGGCTGAGGCAGGAGGATTGCTTGAGTCCAAAGAGTTTGAGACCAGCCTGGGCATCACAGTGAGATCCCATCTCTACAAAATATAAAAAATTAGCTGCGCATGGTGACTTGCACCTGTAGTCTCAGCTACTGAGGAGGCTTAGGTGGGAGGATCACTTGAGCCTGGAAGGTCAATGCTCTGGTGAGCTGTGATCATGCCACTGCACTCCAGCCTGGGCAAAAGAGCCAGATCCTATGTGGAAAAAATGATAATCTTTTATTAAAGAAAGTTAAAAACGGTATGTACATATGTTTGTGAATGAAAACAACCAAATTCTAGCCAAGTCAGTAGCTTGCACCTGTACTCCCACCTATTCAGAGGCTGAGGTGGAAGGATTGCTTGAGCCCAGGGCTTCAAGGCTACAGTGAGCTATAATCGTGCCACTGCACTCCAGCCAGGGCAACAGAGCAAAATCCTGTCTCTAAAAAGAAAAAAAACACCATTGAATCCATTATTCAAAGTGTAGTGTGTATTTACTATTTAAGAAGGAAATCTGGGTGTTAGCAAACTGTGGATATTGACAGTTTTTTCTGAGCTGAGTAAACTGGAACCATTTGCCACCCTATCAGAGTGGTTTGTCCACCACATGGTGGCCATCTACACCATCGCTGGCCCACACCTCTCCAGAAACCTTTATTCTGAGCACCCAGTAACACAGGTGAAAGTTGAAGGTTTGTTTTTCAAGTTGACCCGGAAGTTCTCAACTCTGGGATTATTCACTCAATTACTTGTTTTTGGTAGACTGATGTTTTGGTGTACAAAGCTACTTTTAAGTACTGAAAACATCAGTAATTATTTAGTACCATTATTTCAGTATATTTGGAAATCTGAATTATTTTGTGATTGTTATTTAGTTAATGCAAAAAAGACAAACCCTACAGTCTATAGGTCTAGGTGTGAAAGCTGCAATCAGCCACTCCCTTGAGTGGCCCAGAGTTCTGTATTAGTTCAGGGACTTTCTAACCAAGTGTAATAGAAAACCTGACAGCATTAATATTGTCTAGGCAACAGTATCAGACTCTTTATTTATATATGATGAAACAAAAAAAAAAGACAAAACAAAAATTTTTTTTTTTTTTGAGACAGTTTGGCTCTGTCACCTAGGCTGGGGTGCAATGGTGTGACGTTGGCTCACCGAAACCTCTGCCTCTCGGGTGCAAGCAATTCTCCTGCCTCAGCCTCCCAAGTAGCTGGGATTACAGGCACCCAGAGATGGGGTTTCTCCGTGTTGGTCATGCTGGTCTCGAACTCCCGACCTCAGGTGATCTGCCTGCCTCCGCCTCCCAAAGTGCTGGGATTACAGGGATGAGCCACCATGCCCGACCAACAAATGCTTTCAAAAAAACAAATGCTTTCAAAAAGCTATAGTTTTTTTTTGTTTTTTTTTTTTTTTT